GGTGGCAAACGGAACGTGGGGGTTGGTGGGGGTCGCCATCTCCCCTGTTAACCCTGGGCCCAAGTTAGGAGTTGGCTGGGGAGGGGAGAATTGGCTTACCTCCTCCTCCTGATACTCCTGCGGCCGCTGGGGAGGGAGGTCGATGCTCTCCGCTTCCTGTGGAACATGCTGGGGCTGGGGAGAGAGACCGGTTGTCTCCTCTCCCTGGAAGGCACACTCCGGCTGGGGAGAGAGGTCGATGCTCTCCTCTCCCTGTAGCTGGGTCTGCCGCTGGGGATCTGGGCCGCCTGCCCAGCATCCCTGTAGGGCCGGTAGAGAGACTACGGTCCCATCTTCACCTGCCTGTTGGGGGTCCTCCCAGGACCAGTCTATGAGGTCTGCTGCCTCGGGTACCTCTGGTTGGGGTTGGGGAAGAAGACCGGTTGTCTCTTCCCTCTGCACGGTGCACTGCCGCTGGGGAGAGAGGTCGCTGCTCTCCTCTCCCTGTAACTCAGGCTGCCGCTGGGGAGGGAGGTCGATGCTCTCCGCTCCCTGTAACTCACCCAGGGGTTGGGGATCTGGGCCGACTGCCCAGCATCCCTGTAGGGCCTGTAGAGAGACCTCGGTCCCATCTCTACCTGCCATCAGAGGTTCCTCCCAGTATACCTCTACGATATCCTTCCAGCTGAAGGACTCTCGATCTGGCTCTGCTGCTGTGCTCTCTAGGGGGACCTCTGGATGCTGTTGAGGAAGGGGACGGGTTGTCTCTTCCCGGGACCCCTGGATGATGTGCTGGTACTTCCACTCCAGGTCACATTCCTGGGTGACTAGATACCGCAGGTCTGCTTCCAGGCCAATAGCTCTAGGGAGTCCCAGCTTGTCTTCCCGGTCATCATACAGGTCCCAGAAGCGTGAGTCTGTAGCCCTTCCAAAGTCATCATCGTCCATATTCTCCCAGAATAGATCAGGGCCATTGTAATCCCCACACTCAGGGAATTCATACTCAGCTATCTCTGGAACAAGCTGAGTCGCGTACCACTGTAGCGCCTGGTATGCGTTGTCGAGCCACAGTTCACTGTATACTAGATCCTCTAGTTTAGTCACCCACACTGGAAGGGGTTGTTTGCCCAGGAGGGGCATCCGCTCTGCCATTCGAGCCTGGATTTGCTGCCCTCTGCTGATTCTACGATCACCTCGCCAACGCTGAACTTCCTGTAGGGCTTCTTCCCACAGCTCGGCTCTGGCCTCACTTCTGTACCCACACATCTCCTCTTCTGAGACTGCCCCATCTTTCCAGGATAGGAAGCCATGCAATCTGTCGAGGAACCTCTCCTCCATTTCGGCTGCTGTGCACGGACTTGCTGGCTCCATGCTGCTCTAGGTAGGGACGCTGCGTAGTGGCTAGCGTTGCCCTCAATACTCTCTCATATGATACCAGTGCTGTTGGGGTGCTGCTCCTTGCGCTAGGACGCCATCCCACCGCTGCCACCAAATGTTATGGTTGCCTCCAGGCTGGCTGGAAGTTGAACAGAAAGGATGCTCCTAGCGCTCACCAAAGGACCATCAGCACCGTAGACACCATAACTACTGCGTAGCCACCATAAGTACTGCAGACTCCACGAACCACCGCTGCCGGTCTGGTATCTTGCCGTCTGCTCTGTGCCCTGGACCCACGACCAGGCTCCAGGTTCCAGTAGGTGAACCTCTTCCTTCTGCAGAGCGAAGCAGGATCAGGAACAAGAGCTCTTACAAGAGCTCAGTAGCTAAGGGAGTATGAAGAGCATAGCAATCCCTGTAGTGATTATAGCTGTCCCCTACAAGCATGAGTCAAGGCTGCAAGTTAGAGGGTCAAGAAGATCTGAGGTGCTGGCACACCCAGCCTGGTTTTTATTACAGTCTTGCAAATACAGGACCGCCCACAGGGAGGTATAAAACAACCAATAACAAATGTACATTACAGAAACACTCCCAGCAATTACACACAAAACTCCTCCCCTCTGCCTGTGATCTAATTATGTTGCACAATGGGTTAACAGAATTAAACACAGGCAGTAAAAATACAGTTTTTATACATGTACTATAACTTCCAAACTACACCTCCAATCTTCATAAAAATACATATTTAGAATCAATCCATTCAGGGGAGCAACATATTAAAAACTGGCACAAATCAGACAAGGGGTTCAAAAGTTAGCAAAAGTATCTTTTGGGGCCTAGCTGGCAGCATGGTTATCTCGCCCAAACCGGTTTTACAGAGGCCTCTATCCTAGACAATGGGGAAAGTAATCCAATTATCCAGGGATAGAGGCAGACTCCATTAACCACATGTTAGCAAAAGACACAAAAGGACACAAAAATGCATAACTCCTATCATACTGAACAGAACCCCCACATTCAACCTATCCCCAGATGGCTTGGATCTGAGCGCTCAATATATCCAAACAGCGCTCAGATCCCACAAATACAGTCAAATCGCCATACACACTAGGTCCATAGTCATGGGGCAGAAGGCTGGCAATTAGGCTTCTCCATAACACAGGGAAGCAGGGCAATTTGTCAAATAAAATAACAGTTACAAATGGCAGTTTGTAACATAGTGGAACGCCAATATTAAATCCACGAATTCCGCTGGTTCAGGAAGTAATCCACAGTCAAGCGCTGGAAAAAGCAAGGCAATATCCCAAATCTCCCAGTAACCGGACGAAACACAGTTCTGAGAGTCAACTGAGGTCTTTATTTTCAGTTCCACAATTTATACAATTCCCCATGCAAGGGGTTTCCTGAGTGCCCTCTCAGGGGCATTCCCAGAGGGGACTACATGGGGGACCTATTGTACAAGACATTTCTCCCATCAGGCACTGCTGCACGAGAGGGATCCTCCCACAGGAATGTACCGTTAAGTGGATTATCCCTCCGTGCAGCAGAACCGACAATTTATATTAAAATGCATAACTGTGGTAATATACGATCTATTTGCATGAATGGAAGTTCGGTAGATAGCTGGGGTCTGAGCGCATCATTCGTGAAATTACCGCTCAGATCCCAGCTAAAACAACCGGACGCCGCACGAAAAACACATTCATCAAAATACACGTTTAAATGACCGATTGCCTTTCAGGGAACAAAGTACCGAACGGCCCGGAACTCCCGAACGGCCTGGAAGCTCAGCGGTGTTCGTGCCGTTGAGTAGTCGTTTTTAGTACCATGCGCTCGACGACCAAACACCGCTGAGGGAACAAAGGATCCAAGATGGCCGACCGCCGCATGGTCGGTAGTCGAACGGCGGCCACCTCGGAGAGCCTCTAATTACCAATTGCAACATTGTTGCAATCGGTTAACAAGTGCCACACGCCTCTAAGTGTGTGGGCTACTACATGGGGTATTTTCGGTTCACGAACGGCCCGCAAAAGTGCCGTTCGTGAAACGAAAGAAAATACAATACATACAGCTATCTGCATTCGGCAGATAGCCCATATAGTAAATACATGTAAATTATAACCAGCATACATTCTATATAGTTAAGCCCATATCCCACAACCCTACAGGCAACCCTTAAAGGCACAGTCTCTTTATAGTGTCCAAGTGGCTATGTTTGCCACAGGATCCACACTATATATTATGTCACACTATATATTTTGTCACACGATATATTATGTCACACTATATATTATGTCACACAATATATTATGTCACACGATATATTATGTCATACGATATATTATGTCACACTATATATTATGTCACACGATATATTATGTCACACAATATATTATGTCACACTATATATTATGTCACACGGTATATTATGTCACACTATATATTATGTCACACTATATATGTCACACTATATATTATGTCACACGATATATTATGTCACACTATATGTTATGTCATACGATATATTATGTCACATGATATATTATGTCACACTATATGTTATGTCATACGATATATTATGTCACACAATATAATGTCACACTATATATTATGTCACACGATATATTATGTCACACTATATATTATGTCACACTATATATTATGTCACACAATATATTATATCACACTATATATTATGTCCCACGATATATATTATGTCACATAATGTGTGTGAGCATTATATCTGTGATCGCACGGCGCCATGAGGGACAGATATTGTGACACTATCCCAATTTAACCCAAAACCTATCTAACCCCAAAACTATCTATCCCAATTTAACCCAAAACTTTCACCTTTCCTGTGAGCTGCATTCTCACCATTAAACCATTCACAATTGGTTTAATCCGAAACTCAGTGTTCCAATTTCTGAAATCCAGGGTAACAGGAGTTTCAGGCAGCATTGGGCAGGAGTGCTGCTGATTGCTTTAGGACATATGGTTTTTATGAATGGGGAGCTACTGACTGGCTTAGAGCATCAGCTGACCCCTAATCCAAGCAGCAGCGCCCCTGAGGAGCCTTCCATTATCTAGGATTTCAGATAGCGGATGGACAGAGAGTCAGAGCGATCGGCACTGGAACGCGTACTTTCAGTGCCAGGGACCTCCTGACACCATAACCACTTCATAACAATGTTCCTTCAAGCATTGAATTTCAATATTTATGCTAAAATGAATTTCACTACTATATACAGCAGAAATTGGTGATGAAACTGCCAAGTTAAAATTTTGAAAATCTCAGAAATTAAATAATTATCTTCTTTTGCAAGTGGTAGAAATCCCTTGATGTTGGTAGAAACTGATATGTTTTATAAGAATATCAGAATATTGACATGTCTGTAAAGGTCTGCGTGGGCATTCAGGGGCCGACAATAGTAAAGTACAAAACTATGGTTTTTGTAGCAATAGACATTTTAATAGTCAATCCCCCATAAAAATTATATGTTTATGAAAAACACAAATATTTCGACATTGCCAGCAAGTTTGGTCCAGATTGTGATACGATTGTTAAGTAAAAAGTGTCAGAATGTTCTTAATTGAATTTTAGATTATGAATGATGGATACTCAACATGAAGGAACTGTCACTCTAATTACTATTCCAAGCAATAAGCAGGTACCAGTACTGTGCATCAGTGCGAACCATAAGCAGGTACCGGTACTGTGCATCAGTGCGAACCATAAGCAGGTACCGGTACTGTGCATTAGTGCAAGCCGTAAGCAGGTACCGGTACTGTGCGTCAGTGCAAGCCGTAAGCAGGTACCGGTACTGTGCGTCAGTGCAAGCCGTAAGCAGGTACCGGTACTGTGTGTCAGTGCAAGCCGTAAGCAGGTACCGGTACTGTGCGTCAGTGCAAGCCGTAAGCAGGTACCGGTACTGTGCGTCAGTGCAAGCCGTAAGCAGGTACCGGTACTGTGTCAGTGCAAGCCGTAAGCAGGCAAGTCGTGCGTAAGCAAGCCCCGGTACTGTGCGTCAGTGCAAGTAGCAACTGTGTCAGTGCAAGCCGTAAGCAGGTACCGGTACTGTGCGTCAGTGCAAGCCGTAAGCAGGTACCGGTACTGTGCATAAGTGCAAGCCGTAAGCAGGTACCGGTACTGTGCGTCAGTGCAAGCCGTAAGCAGGTACCGGTACTGTGCGTCAGTGCGAACCATAAGCAGGTACCGGTACTGTGCGTCAGTGCAAGCCGTAAGCAGGTACCGGTACTGTGCATTAGTGCAAGCCGTAAGCAGGTACCGGTACTGTGCGTCAGTGCAAGCCGTAAGCAGGCACCGGTACTGTGCATTAGTGCAAGCCGTAAGCAGGTACCGGTACTGTGCGTCAGTGCAAGCCGTAAGCAGGTACCGGTACTGTGTGTCAGTGCAAGCCGTAAGCAGGTACCGGTACTGTGCGTCAGTGCAAGCCGTAAGCAGGTACCGGTACTGTGTGTCAGTGCAAGCCGTAAGCAGGTACCGGTACTGTGCGTCAGTGCAAGCCGTAAGCAGGTACCGGTACTGTGCGTGTACTGTGCGTCAGTGCAAGCCGTAAGCAGGTACCGGTACTGTGCGTCAGTGCAAACGTGAAAAAGCGAATTACGGTACTGTGCGTCAGTGCAAGCCGTAAGCAGGCACCGGTACTGTGCATTAGTGCAAGCCGTAAGCAGGTACCGGTACTGTGTGTCAGTGCAAGCCGTAAGCAGGTACCAGTACTGTGTGTCAGTGCAAGCCGTAAGCAGGTACCGGTACTGTGCGTCAGTGCAAGCCGTAAGCAGGTACCGGTACTGTGCATTAGTGCAAGCCGTAAGCAGGTACCGGTACTGTGTGTCAGTGCAAGTCGTAAGCAGGTACCAGTACTGTGTGTCAGTGCAAGCCGTAAGCAGGTACCGGTACTGTGTGTCAGTGCAAGCCATAATAAGGTATCAGTATTGTGTGTTAGTGCTAGCCATAATAAGGTACCGGAATCGTGTGTTAGTGCAAGCCATAATAAGGTACCAGTATTGTGTGTTAGTGCTAGCCATAATAGGGTATCAGTATTGTGTGTCAGTGCAAGCCATAATAGGGTATCAGTATTGTGTGTCAGTGAAAGCCATAATAAGGTATTGGTATCGTGTGTCAGTGCAAGCCATAATAAGGTACCAGTATCGTGTGTCAGTGCAAGCCATAATAAGGTACCAGTATCGTGTGTCAGTGCAAGCCATAATAAGGTATCAGTATCGTGTGTCAGTACAAGCCATAATAAGGTACCAGTATCGTATGTCAGTGCAAGCCATAATAAGGTATCAGTATCGTGTGTCAGTACAAGCCATAATAAGGTACCAGTATCGTATGTCAGTGCAAGCCATAATAAGGTATCAGTATTGTGTGTCAGTGCAAGCCATAATAAGGTATTGGTATCGTGTGTCAGTGCAAGCCATAATAAGGTATCAGTATCGTGTGTCAGTGCAAGCCATAATAAGGTATTGGTATCGTGTGTCAGTGCAAGCCATCATAAGGTGCCTGTACTGTCTGTCAGTAACCACGCAAGCCATAAGCAGATTCGGTACCATCTGTAGATGTCTAGACGAATATAACCTAACATGCAAACCAATGTCATACACTGTACAGAACAATCCGAACAAGATAAGATATTACTCATCCGTAGAATGGCCAGTATAGTAGAAAGTCTGCGGGAAGGCTAAGCATAAACTGAGACAAGCAGAGGCCAATGAATACAGAGACAAAAAAAAAAGGAAGTCAGATTGAACGAGAATACTGAGCCGAACACTCTCAGACGAGCACAGAACCTTTTAGAGCCTATACAGGCTCTCTCAGAATGTTCACCACCTGCAATGACACAGCCTATGGATCCCAAAAATGAGCCAAGTCAGGATTACTATAAGAATTCGCAGAATGATTTGTGTTATCACAGTACTAGTGATAGTAACACATACAGTAAGACCGAAACGGTTTCTGAAGACAGAAATCAAAGCCTAAAGAAATAAAACTGAGAAAGGACATTTCTCCTAATTTGTGGGATTTTTCGTAAACTTTTTTTTTTTTTTTTTACTTAAGACACACTGATCATTATAACGAAAGAAAATCTATGCTTTCCGTTTGCAATGTAGTGACCAAGAAGATGTGTCATAGGCAATCACCTGAGTGGAAATCAATGATTGGTGTTTCCATCAGTGGCAGACAGTGCCTCGAACTCTGAGTCTGGGGCCTCTGGCTCGTTTTTTCCACTCCAATAGGCAGGGAGGGTGGGGGGACTGGGTAGACCTTTTCATGTGGAATTCCAGGATCTCTTTATTAACAGCTGATAATTAAACAGAGATTAAACGGTACAATCTGAATGTGAGTGTATAAGTTTATATGTATGCTGTCATGTTCCTGTGAGTGTGTATGCACTCTTGTGTTTCTGTGTACACACATTTCTTTATTTTTGTATCCACGCTCGTACTCCTGTGAGTGTGTATGCACACTCGTGTTTCTGTGAGTGTGTATGCACGCTCGTGTTTCAGTGAGTGTGTATGCACGCTCGTGTTTCTGTGAGTGTGTATGCACACTCGTGTTTCTGTGAGTGTGTATGCACGCTCATGTTTCAGTGAGTGTGTATGCACGCTCGTGTTTCTGTGAGTGTGTATGCACACTCGTGTTTCTGTGTTTTTGTATGCACACTCGTGTTTCTGTGTGTTTGTATGCACACTCGTGTTTCTGTGTGTTTGTATGCACACTCGTGTTTCTGTGTGTTTGTATGCACACTTGTGTTTCTGTGAGTGTGTATGCACTCTTGTGTTTCTGTGTGCTTGAATGCATGCTTGTGTTTCTGTGAGTGTGTATGCATGCTCGTGTTTCTGTGAGTGTGTATGCTCGCTTGTGTTTCTGTGAGTGTGTATGCAGGCTTGAGTTTCTGTGTACACACATTTCAATGTTTCTGTATGTACTCTCGTGTTTCTGTGAGTTTATATGCACGCTCGTTTTTCTGTGAGTGTGTTTGCACGTTCATGTCTCTGTGAGTGTGTATGTACGCACATGTTTCTGTGAGTGTGTATGCATGTTCATGTTTCTGTGAGTGTGTATGTACGCACATGTTTCTGTGAGTGTGTATGCACGCTCGTTTTTCTGTGAGTGTGTTTGCACGTTCATGTTTCTGTGAGTATGTACGCACATGTTTCTGTGAGTGTGTATGCATGTTCATGTTTCTGTGAGTGTGTATGTACGCACATGTTTCTGTGAGTGTGTATGCATGTTCATGTTTCTGTGAGTGTGTATGTACGCACATGTTTCTGTGAGTGTGTATGCATGTTCATGTTTCTGTGAGTGTGTATGCACGCTCATGTTTCTGTGAGTGTGTATGTACGCACATGTTTCTGTGTGTTTGTATACACGCTCGTGTTGTCCGCTACTGGTTTTACATTAGTGGAACACATATGGTATGTAAAATTTCTCACAAAACTAAAATGTATAAAAACACAAAACAAAATTAAATATAACCATCAGATTTATCAGGGGCTGGTGATAAAATGGCTCATGAAACCTCCTCGGGTAAGGGGTGAGCAGACACCGTGCATTTTGGGAGATTAAGGTGTCTGGTTGTTTATGGTGTTAGTGGGTTTATTACTCTGATACATGCGCAGTTTCCCAAAGGCTGGTAATTGTGGAGATGGTAGGTACCCCCATGTGGTACCTAGCATGAGGCAATTTGACTGACGGAAGAGATCCAGGGTGGGGGAAAGGTCTGTATAAATTATGGAGCCAAAGATCACTGGACAATTTAAGAACATGAAGGACTGTAAGTGTTAACATGTTGTTTTATTCCCTTTTATCTTTATACCCTCAACCATAATTGGGTTTTCTGTATTGTTCCCCTTTCCTATTACAATTTATATTTAATAATTCTGTGTGGCTGGTTCACTATAAGCTCACATAATTAGTGACACCACTCACAAACTTGCTGGATCGCTATCGGTGCAGTATCTGTAATATACGATATCAGTACAGTGTTTTATCTCACATCCTGGTCAAACTGGGTTGGCTTTGTTTAATTTGTTAATTTTAGGGAATCTAAGACAACCAGAGACATTACGTTTTTGAAGTCTTGATGGTGCTACTGAGTTTTTTAAATGATCAGGTAAATGATCCCCTGTGTCTCCTGGTTTAACAGGGAGTACCGGTAGTTAAAATATTATTTGTGGGTATTTCATTACAGATACATTGGTCAATAATCATTAATAATCGTTAATTGTCCCAATGAGCCACAAACATATGTAACTAAACTATGGGCGTAGCCAAATTGTCACCATAGACATATTAATGCAAAATCAATAAGCATAACCCATGACCTTTAACAAGGCTGATTGGGTTAAATAGCGTCAAAACATATCCTGGTGATTGTGAGTAGCTCGGAAGCGTTGTTGGGAGTTTTTGTATAGACAAAAATAATGTAAAAGTGTGTCTTTGGCGTGTACGTGCTTTCCTCTGCATGTTGGATCTGTGCATTCCCGATGTCTATAAACATGCATGTCTAATTCGCAGCCGGGCCCCTGGCTCCCCACTGACAGCTAATCAGATTGTGGGCTAATCTGCAGGGTGTGTCTGTGCTGCCGGATCGTATTAACTGTTATAAACACAAAAACTATTGTTTGAAAGTAAAAAAACAAAAATCTACATTCCCCAGGATTTCAATAACCCTACAAAGCAAGAAGCAAACACAGATACATAGAGGTACGTACTCAGGAAACCACACAAAACAACACACAGAGGCACACACAATGTACACTTGATATTACACAAAGCAAAACATGTACATACAACATGCGCAAGAACAAATAAAACTTCATACACATTAACACAAACCAATACTACAGGCAAACACAGACAAAAAATCACTAACAGACATAGTGACATGTGAACTCCTCTAGCAGTCTAGTAATAGCAATCTACAAAGTAACAAAATACACATACAAGGAATTCCAAATCTGAACGTACACAGCACACAGAGGGTGCACCAATCTATGGTGTCACAGCGCTCGTAACATGACACACGCCAGGTGTCACTGGCAACAATGATGTCTGTAATCCCTGTAACATTTTCTCATTCTGTGCCGGTCATATTGATTGGAGGTCGCAAGGATATATGATGTAACACCTTACCACTCCAAAATCTGAATATTCCATATATCACATGATCTTCGTCTTCTTTATATCACATGAGCTGTGTCTGATATATATATCACATGAGCTGTGTATTCCATATATCACGTGATCTGCATATTCTATATATATCACATGATCTGCGTCTTCAATATATCACATGATATCATTTCATTGCAGATGACACGCAAATCTATCTGTCCTCTCCTGATCTCTCCCCGTCCCTCTCTGACTGCCTCTCTGCTGGATGGCGGCGCCCACTTCCTTAAAGGACCAGTATAGTGCCAGGAGTGCCCCCACCCTCAGGGTCCCACTCCCATGGCGCTGAAGGAGGAAGGGGTTGATCTTTAAGGGGTTAACCTTTTTTCCAGCCGGCGCTGGGACTCTCCTCCCTCTTCTTCCGTCATCGGCTGAATGCGCATCCGCGGCAAGAGCCGAGCGCGCATTCAGCCAGTCTCATAGGAAAGCATTCTCAATGCTTTCCTATGGACCCTGGCGTCTTCGCACTGTGAAAATCACAGTGAGAAGCGCGGAAGCGCCTCTAGCGGCTGTCAATGAGACAGCCACTAGAGGCTGGATTAACCCGTAGGTAAACATAGCAGTTTCTCTGAAACTGCTATGTTTACTGCAAAAAAAAGGTTAAACCTAGCTGGACCTGGCACCCAGACCACTTCAGCTCAAAGTATAGCCTATAGTGGTCCTTTAAACTCAACTTGACCAAAACTGAAATTCTGGTCTTTCCTCCCTCAAGTGTTGCTACTCCTGTGTCTCCCTCCCT